CGGGCGGTGCGGGCCTGGCGCCATGTTGGGTGCGTCGGGCTGCTCCTCCCAGCCCCCAGTATGGAGCCGCTGAGGAGGGGATGGCCGCTCTGTCGCCTTATACCCCTCCAGTCTCCTCACCGGCGGAGATCGGTTCCCCATTGGGGGCCGCACACGTTGCCTCAGTTGCCACAGGCACTGTGTTGAGGGCTCTGTGTGTGGGGCCCTGTCACGGGGCTGAGGGGTTTTCAGTCCTTGTCCTGCTCCGGCGGGTCTCCTCAGTGGTCGGGACCCTCTCCAAGGGACTTATGCTCCATGGCATGTCAGTGCCTTGTACCGTCCCCGCCGTACATTTTGGGGTGTCAGGTGTGGGCATTTGCCAAGGCTGCAGATGGTAAGAAAATAGTAGAGAGAGAAAAATTCACAAATCTTCACCAGCACTGTCACAAGACTTCAGCAGCAGCCTTTTGGGGGCTGCTGGTGTCCCACAAATGAGCCTTCTCCAGTGTGTTCTGAAGCAGTTGTAACTCTTAACACTGTAAATGCACATTCACAGAGGGTATATACGGCAACATACATTTAAATTTGTTACCGTATATTGTAATGGATGAAGGGAGGGCTTCTCAGAGGGCACCCTCTTCTTGGGTGGCTTCAAGGCGAGAGGAGGAATGTTAGACTGCATTTTTCACAGGTGACAGATGAGTAATGTGTTGCGTGGTCCCATTTCAGTGCCCACTCAGGACTTTTCCCTGTGGGAATACGCTGCGTTTTACTACAGCTCCTCTGCAAGGATGTCAAAGGCTAAAGGAGAGGCCAGGCCTCGGTATAGGGTGGAAATAAATCTGCATAACCAGAGCGGTGGAAGACGTAACGTGCAGATAAAGACAACTTTTGCCTTCCTGCAATACGAAAGAGCCACCTAGATTTATTTCGTGTTCCCAAGTGTCTTTCTGGAGGATTTAGTGCACACTAGCTCCCAGAAGGACCACCCTGGGCAGAGCTCGCCGTGGTGGGACGAGGGTGGGCTATGGGGAGAGGACCCAGCAGGTGTCACTCGCACTCAGCAGAATGCAGCTGCTGGAAAGATGCTCTCCATTAGCCCGACCTCTAGAGGTTTTAAATTGTATCATTCAGGTTCATAAAATAGTGTCAGGTTTTGTTGTTGTTTATTGTGCTGAATCTGGAAAGCAAAGTGATACAGCAGTAAACAGGGAGCAGCCATCCACTGCTGTTGCTGACAGGTCAGCCGGGACCCCAGATTTCCTAGATATTAAATTCCCATCTCACAGAGGACTGTTAGAATGGATCAGAGGTGAGGAAGACTAAATTAAGGACGCTGAAGGGGGCCCACAGGGCTCCTACAAAAACACTAATCTCTGCAGCTTTTACTTCTCTTAGGTCGAAGAGTATAATTCCACGTGCCTTCCTCCTGCCACTGAAGGATTCTTGCATTATAAACTGTAGGGTTTGTGTTACCTGGTATTCCATAAGTTGAGGCATGGGACTTCTGTTGTCTCAAGACATACAGTACTCTGTAATGCATATTCTTGAGAGGCTGGTCTACATGTCTAGCTTCACCCACTATTTTACTGAAATTAATTTATTTACATTGAATAGTGCTGCCCTATAACGTAAAAAGAAAAGCAGGAGGAATAGATTATTACTTATTTTTTTCTTTTACTTATTAACAGAAAGTAGGATTAGGAAAGTATAGTGTGCCTGATCACTTGAAGAAAGGGTTCCAAATCGAGTCCTTGCTAAATGGGTTAAAACCCCCTTTATTAAATTAGTCTTTATTTTATTATTGGACTTTACCGGTAACTGTCATTTTATTGTTAAATTGTACCCTGATGAACTACTATGGGGCCTTTTACAGTATTTGCATAAAAGCATGCTTCAAACTTGCTTCTCTCATTCTTGCAAGGCAACCTATTGTTTTAAATAGGATTACTCAAGCGAGGCAGATTAATTCACCTACAGGAAAAAAAGCCAATGGCGGGTGCTCCATTTTAAGGAGTTCCCTGCAGAGCAGAAGAGCACATAGAGTTGCTCAAACTGCTAATAGCACAGTCTGGGGAAATTTGGTTTATTATGGTAGGAATGGAAGTCCATAACGAGGATATATCTCCAATGCAATTAGAGACAGCAGTGACCCAAACCTTGGGTTGAACTGCCTGCTCTGGTAGAGTAAGAGGGGTGCTGTTGTCTTTATGTCATCCTAATCCTGAACCAAGCAGGAAGAGTTAAATGGTACAGATGTGCAGGAGGTTTTGCAGCACGCGTTTCCTCCCTTTGACCTGTGGTGCTGGCGAAAATTCAGGGTCCTGTTGGTTGATCCAGATGGGAGGATGAGTGATGAAGGAAGGTATAGCTGATGTATTTCTGTTTGCTTACAAGAATGCTCACAGCCTTCCTTTCCTGAACACAGAAGAAAACACACAGTTGAGAGCCAGTTTCCTTGCTTATAGCTCCAGACCTGCTCCAGGCAGCAATGTGACCCCAAATCCCTGTTTCTGTATTCAGTCCAGGTTTTATATCAATGATTGTTCAGGCTGTTTGAAGTTTCCGTTCCCTGCCTGTTTCAATATGCTCTCTTTCTGTCTCCTCCTCCGTCTGAACTGTATTGTCCATCCACACATAACCTTCTTTCCTTTTAATATCTTACCCGAAACTGTCCTCCCAGAGCCTTCAGGTACTTGAGCAATCTTGCATTGTGGGTGGAAATAGACTTAATGTCTCCTTCAGCTACCCTAAATAAAGGGACACAGTTAAACCTACCGGTTTCAAGAAGGTTTAACCCAACCTATAAAAATAAAAGCCTAATGGAGTGTTGCCCTGAGGTTTTCATCTTACTGAAGATCCCTCTAGAAAATGTTGTGAAGTTTATAAGTAATGGCATGGAAATAATAGGGAGTACATCATTCAAAAAACCCAGAGTATTTTGCAAAAGACGTCAATAGATACGAAAGAGGTTTCCTTTTTCCGGTAGCAACCATAACACATAATATTGCAGCTTTCAGACCAAAGAATCAGTTGCGGCCTGAAAAGTTAAGTAACACTCTTCATTAAAGTTGCTGAAAAGGATGAAGTAAAAAGCATAATACAACCTCCCTCCGACTGCAAGATCTTGGAGGCTGGGATCATTTCTTCTGTTCTGTGTGCCACCCTTTGAAAACTCAGGGTCTCAGCTGGGACTGGTGCTCAGTGATACTACAGTAATATGCAGACACAGTGTCCATAGGTGTGTAAAGTAGCACAGAGTGGCCTTCAAGAAGGTCAAGAGACGAGGATTTACCTAACTGATCCTGTGCCCACTGAAACTGATGACAAAGCATCCAGTGCTTTTAATAAAGGATCAAACCTACACAAGTGGATAGATACGGTTCTCAAACATGCGGTTTGGCATCAGATGCTTCTTGGCTCCTAAATACTTATTCCAATCTGATGTCTTCCCACCAGCACAGGTTAAGCGGCTGCAGCTGTCAAGGGGAAAGAGAAATCACGGGCTACCAGCACTTCCAGAAGGTCGACGGAGAGATGCGTGTTTTATCAACTGGTAATTTGGCAATAAGTTATGGTCCCAGGTAGCTTGATCCAATCTGCTATTTTTTAATTGTATGAGCAGTTTGATGTGGTGAGAGCAGTGCAGCTGCTCAGCAGAGGTCCCAACCTCATTCATCTGAAAATGTGCTTGCAGTGGAAACCAGACTCCAGAGTTGAATAGGATGAAAAGGGGTGTGGAGTTTGGAATCTCTTCTGTGGCCAGACTTCCTCAGGAAAATGGTGAATTGCCTTGCATAGATAATAATACCTAGGGATTGACCCAGCAAAAGCAGTTGAGAGAATTAACATATGATTGTAAGCGGATTGCTTGCTCTGTGTTATTACAGAGCCGTTTTCCTTAGTCAACCTCAAAACACTTTACAAAGGAGATCACTTACCAATGATGAATAGTTTAGCATGTACATAGTTCTTTTCGCCTTCACAGCACTTGAGTATCGATGCATCTTCATGCTCCTCCGATAAAATGTATAATTTAATGTTATGATTATCTTTTCAAGTGGAGCAATTTGAACCTGGTGTGTAGGACTGGGGAGGGGGAATTGCTCCCTCCGCCTTTTGTCCCGTCCTGCTGGCCTTTGCTTGTATCTAGTGCTGGTTGCAAAAGTGCCTTATTTTGAAGGTCTTTGATCAGCCTGCTGGTTAGCTAAATATATACCTGTGGGGAGATAATTACATGCTATCAGTAGTAAAGTGTAGTAAAATAATTTACGTTAATTAAAACATTTGCAAAACCAAAGCAGGAATTTTCACTATGTATGCTGCAGATACATAAGATTAAGTATGCTGCAGCAACAGCTGTATCTGAGACTGCCTGCTTCCCATAGACAAACATGAAAATAAAACCAGGGACCAGTAGAAAACAGTTTTTTCATGCTAAAAAGAGGAAAGACCTATACCCACTGGGAAAACCATGGTGGTATCAATCCAGAAGGGCAGGGCTGAACATATTTTCCATCTGTGCAAGCAGATCTGAATTCATGAGCATGGGGAAGATTGGTGTGATGTATCTCATCTTATCAACATGTTTGGTTAAGTGTGAGTGGCCCAGCAGGAGGGTTGTACAAATGGGCCTCATATTATTGGGGGAGGATTTGGAGACTAATTAAATAGTGTGACAGAGGCTTAAAAAAATCACGTTGTTACCATCTTTGAATCCACTGTCTGTTCCTCCAGCATGATCCTTGTACTTTTCCTCTCTTCCCTCATTTACGTCTGATGAAAATACTCAGCACTTTCAGAGCCTTGCGTGGAAATTGTCTGTCTGACCTTCCCAGCTGAAGCAGTCCATGGCTGTTGTCCCTCTGCTACCTTGTGTCTTGGAAGAAGCTCAGTTGCTGATGCAATTCTTATTCACACCAAGGGCACTGGGTCTGGGATGTTACCACTTCCACATCCCTGCGGAGATGCCCGTTGATGTTGCTTTCTGCAGATCTCAGAACAGCCAGTCTCCAGTTCAACCCAACGCATGTCTCCACTGATCATTCCTGGAACAGCTTGTATCCCAGGGTTTCTCTTTCTTCCTGATGGCTGCAGTCGCTTAACCTCTGATTGTGAGAGGACATCAGATTGACGTGAGTGCTTAGGAGCCAAGAAGCGCT